CCCCCAGCTGGAAACCAGAACCTGTAGGTGCGGGCGCACATGCGCACTGGGCATCTCGCAGTCCCCGCCCCTAGCCCAAGCGTTTCCTCTTTGAGCCTCGAGGGTTTTTTTTCCCACGACTTTTACCTGCTGGAGTCCGGCTGAGGAGTAAGGGAAGGGAAGTTAAAGGTTGAGAAAGAGAAGGGACCGAACATAAAACCGAGTTACATACTACCTCCACGATAATATTTGCTTAGGCAAATGCTGAGTCTTTTCTGTAGATCAGGCTCTGTGCTAGGTATAACACATGATCTTTGTTGTAGTTTTGACAACCCTGTAAGGTAGGCACACTCTTAGTAAACCCATTTTACAGAAGAAACTGAGGCCTGGATAGAGGAACCAATATCACTCAGCTGATAAATAAGGGAACTGACATTTTAATTGGATCTGTTGTTAAGCAGGAAAGATAAAAGGAATGACAAGAAAGGGAAAGGTGGGGCGGGGATTGGGATTGGAAGAAGGAAAATTAATCAATCAGATACAAAGGAAACAAGTTTTGGTACATCAGATGTTCACTATACCCCATGTTTATTTCAGATATACTGTAGGATTATCAGATCGATGGAAATCTTTGTTTCAGGAACTTGGCTAAATATTTCATTTCAAGGCAAGATCATTGCTATCATCCCCTCTGTTAAGGGATGCTGCCCTACACGAAAAGGGAATTTCGAGAGAAGAGAGCAAAGAATTTTCTTTTCTTTTCTTTTTTAAGTTTTTTGAGACTATGTAGTCCAGGATGGTCTTAAACTCATTATATTGCCCAGGCTGGCCTCGAACTCAGTGAGCCCTCTGCCTTTTCCTCCCAAGTGCTAGGGTCACAGGCGTGCACCACCAACTTACTTCTTAACTAACTTACTAGGACTATCTGAGTTAAAAACCGAGTTGCATACTACCTCCAGGATAATATTTGTTTATGCAAGTGAGGTATCACAGAGCCACACCCCAATCCAACTCTTGAATTTTTTTATAACACTGTTCTTTGTTGTGGCAAAATACACATAAAAATGATCATTTTTTGGGCCAGGGATTTAGCTCAGTGTTGTCACTGCCTGCCTCTCAAGGTGGGTGTTCACTTCAGTGGCATTGAGCGCATTCACGTTGTGTAACCATCGCCACCATCCATCTTCAGAACTTTTTCATCTTACTTGGCACTGAAATTTGGCCTTTGTTACAGAGCACAGTATTTTCTGCTAAGTAGCGTGACTACTTGTGTACATGATTCTTCTCTCTCATGTTGTAAGCTCATTTACAGCAAGATCTATATCAGTCATTTTTGTAATTCCTCCAAGACTGTTCTCTCTTGTATCCCACATTCAATCTATGGGCAAATACTATCACTGCAGGGCCAGGGATTTAGTTTAGTGGTTCCGGTGCCTGCCTCGCAAGCGCAAGGACCCAAGTTCAATCCCCGGTACAAAAAAAAAAATTATCATTGCCATCTTCACAATATATCCAGAATATCACTAGTTCTCATGGACTCCGCTGTTACTCTATCAAGTCCATCTTTCTCTTGGACTATAATTGCCTGTTCACTTGTCTCCCAGCTCTATGTCCTCCAGAAGGACTCCAGTCTATTCACAGCAGTCATACTTCTCCTCCTCTGCGCAGATCCCTCCTGGGTTCCCCATTTCACTCAAAAGCTACAGATTTGAGGTTCTTTCGTGTTGTACTGGGGATTGAACCCAGAGTTTGCACGTGCTTGACAAGCCCTCTACCAATAAGCTTAAATTCTGAGTTCAAAAGCTGCAAATTTGTAATGACCTACAAAGATTATAATGCTGGCCCCCAATGATCTTCATCTTTGGTAGTTACACCCTTGCATCTCTTCTGCATTGAACCAGTGCTAACCTGTGTAACAGAGAGAATATAGTGGAAGTGAGCCAGGAATGGTGACGTATAACTGGAGTCCCAGGAGCTGAGGAAGGAGGATCACTCCTGGAGTCCAGGAGTTTGAGAACAGTCAGAGCAATGAAATGAAATGCTATGTGGAGACAGAAGGGGGTGGGAGCCATGTATGTGGTAGAAAGAGTGCTATGTGACCTACGAGGCTAGGGTCATAAAAGGCATTGTAATTTCTGCCTTGCTTTTTAAATAAAATTTATTTCCTTTCTTTCTTTTGGATTGGCTCCTCAGGGGAAGCCAGGCATCATGTCATGAGGATACTCAAATGCAATGGGAAGAGGTCCACACACAGAGAAACTGAGTCCTCCTCCTTCCTCATCTCTGCTCCCTTAACAGCCAGCACCAACATGCCATCCACATGAGTAAGCCACCTTGGAAGGAATTCTTCAGGTCCAGGTCTTGGATAACTGCTGTGTCTTAAGACCCAGAGCCAGAATTATCCACCCAAGCCACTCTTAAAATTGTGTGTATTGTCTATGGCCATGCTACCGTAAATGCACCTGTCATTTTAAATTTGTGTGCATTGTTTTCAATAGCCCAATTTGAGGGCAGTTTATAATAGATAACTATTACACAGTTTCTGTGCATTTTCCTTCCCTGATACCTTTGTACCCTCATCTTCTACCACTCTCTGCACTGGTCCTGTAGCTTCCCTGCCTCAGGGGCTGTGCAGTTGTTGTTCACTCACCTAGAAACAAAGCTCCCTGATATTTCATGGCTTGTCTTTCATCTTCTTCAAGTCATTGCTTAATTGTCAGTTTCCCCTAAGGCTTATGGTGCCTATCATAGCTAAGATTATAATCACTTCTTGGCCTTTTGGCTAAGATCAAGTGTAAGATTACAACTCCTAGGGCTGGAGATGTAGCTAGTGATAGAGTGCTTGTCTAGCATGTGTGAGGCCCTGGGTTCAATCCTCAGCACTGCAAATAAGTACATAGATCAAAATAAAATTACAACACCTCTCCCTACTACTCCCTGTTTTCCTTTCACTGCTCTGTATCTGTCCTTTGCTATGGTTATCTACCACTTTCTAAAGTACTATATCATTTTGCTACTTCTTATGTTTCTTTACTGTACATTTTCCCTCCCATCTCTACTAGAATATCAGCTCCAAGATTACAAAAGTGTTTGTTTTGTTCCCTGATGTATTCCAAGTGCTTGAAACAGTGTTGGACATCATATCTGTGCTCAGGAGATACTTGCTGAATGAATCAATAAACATTTCATGAACATGCCACACACTGGATTAATACTTGGCAGGTGCATTGTCAATTTCCAGATATGAGTGTACCTGGGGAATAGTGTCTAGATTGTATTTAATTTATTTACTTTTTGCTATATATATATATATAGATATATATATATAGATATATATAATTTGTTTGAATTTTTCTATCTGTACATTTTAGGTATACAATATAGTTACATTCATCATCAGAATCTTGTACCTCTACATGACATATCTTGATTCTTATTTTTTCCTCATTCCCCTAGCCTCCCTTTCCCGTTCCCTCCTTCTCTATTTACAAAGACTTTATTTCAATTTTTCCTGTTCTCATATTTATTCCTTTCCCTGACTCAATCCACTACCCCTACTCCTTTAGTCCTTTTCTTCCTATTTCACACTAACGATTATACAATTTGAACCTTATTTATACTTTAAAATTTTCACACCAGAGAAACTATTTGGTATCTACACATGTGTGTCCTATTTGTTTCACTTATGAGTATGACCTCAATATGCATCCATTTACCTAAAAGTGTCTCTAGTTTCTCAATCTTTTATGGCTGAGTAGTACTCCATTTTATTTTTTTAAAAAAACGCACTTCTTTTTTATCCAGTCGTCAGTTGATGGGCAATTAGGCTGTTTCCAAGTTTTAGCTGTTACAAACTGTGCCTCTATAAACATGGGTGTGCATATATTGCTGTGGTATGGTTCTTTTAATTATTCTGGGAAGATACCCAGCAGAGCTATGGCTGGGTCAAATGGGACTTCTATTCCTAGTTGTTTAAGGTATCTCCATATTGATTTCCACAGTGGTTGCACCAGTCTGCACTCCCACCAACAATGGAGAAGGGTTCCTTTCTCCCCACAACCATGCCAACATTTGTTATTGGTTGATTTCT